TAGCTGGACTAACCCTCTGGAGCATCCTCCGCAAAGAAGACCAAATATGAAACCCCAATCTGAGCGTATGACTTTGGGTGCCCTGGGGTGGAGTCATGCTTGAAGTCCTGGAGGTACATGGCACCAGAGGTGGCCCGCCACGAAGCTTACACGGAGAAGGCGGACATCTACGCCTACGCGCTGATTCTGTACTTCATCTTTTCCGGGAGGCTCTGGGTATGAAATGGTTGCGAAAACAAGACGGTTCTGTGCGTGTGTCTTGTTGTTGTGTTGTTTTGCTGGGTGAGGGGGGGTTTACCTTCGCATATTTTCAGACAACTCCTTCTTATCCGAAATTCAGCAAAACCCAGGGCAAGAGACAAGGATAATTTAGCAGGCTGACGCCTGATGCCGCCGACCCCCGTAAGAGCAGCTCATTGTTATTTCCAGCATTGGCGCCAGCTGCAAAGATGAGCAGGCGGCAGAAGAACGCGCCCTGCGAGCGAGGGCTTGGCAGCGACCAGAAAAAGGGGAGCAGCGAAAGCTTGAGCTGATGAAGGAGATATGGCTGTCGCGATCAGGATTCTTCCAGTCTGTAACCGCTCATGGTCTGCAGGATAGTTTTGCACGATTTTTCACGGTTTTGCATGGATTTTCTAGGTTTTGTGCATGGCATGGTTTTGCATGGATTTTCCGTGATTTTTTGCGCATGACGTTTGCGGCAGGCGTTGCGTGGTTTTTGCTTGTGTCGCGCGGAAAAAAAGTGAGGCTTTGTTCTTGTTGCGCGCTTGCTGGGGACGCACGCGGCGCCTCGCGCAGCACCGCGCTGAGATGCTGAGGGATGCGGAGATGCTGGGGGGCATCACAAACGACAGCTGCGACAGGTACCATGCCAAGCGCGGCCAGGTGCGCGCACGCCCCACAAAGCCTGCGACCACACACCTTGGAGAAAGTCGGGATGCAGGGCCTGCCTTTTTGGTGGTCCATTGTTAGAGAAAAAGGCAGCTTTTGCATCCCCAGCTTCACGAGCATCATTATGCACGTGCCCGGGGTGATGCTGCGCATGCTGGGGATGCAGGAGCTGCCTTTTTGGTTTTTGAAAAACAGGCAGCTTTTGCATCCCCCGCTTCACCGGCATCATCCTGCAGGTGCCCGGGGTGATGCTTTGCATGCTGGGGATGCGGGAGCTGCCTTTTTGGTCGTCGAATGTCGGGAAAAAAGGCAGCTTTAGCATCCCCCGCTTCACCAGCATCATCCTGAAAGTCTCTGGAATGATGCCTGGCATGCTGGGGATGCGGGAGCTGCGTTTATTGGTCAAGGACGGAGGAGTGGCTTCATGCGGGGATGATGAGGCTGCCAATGATGCTGGATGAGGAGGACAATGCTGGCGCCGCTGAGGATAATGATGAGGAGGAGGATGACGATGATGCGGCTGATGCGGATGAACTCATCCACCATGTTATCATCCTCAGCCTCAGTAGCATCATCATCCTCAGCCTCATGATCCAGCAGCATCACCATCGTCATGAGCACCATCATCCTCATCCTCATCGTCCTCCCGAGCATCATCATCATCGTCATCATCGTCATCGTCATCGTCCTCATCATCAGCGGCGTCATGATCATCATTCTGGGCATCACCGTGATCATCATTCTTCATCATCACCATCATAATCGTCATCATCATCATCATCATCTTCATCAGCCTGAGCAGCATCATCATCATCATCATCATCATCATCATCATCATCATCATCATCATCTTCATCATCCTGAGCAGCATCAGCAGCAGCATCATCATCATCATCGTGAGCTTCCCGCAGTCTTCCGTCATCTCCCGTCATCTTCCGGTGAGCTTCCCGTACTCTTCCGTGAGCTTCCCGTCATCGTCCCGTAGTCTTCCGTCATCTTCCCGTAGTCTTGCGTCAGCTTCCCGTAGTCTTGAGTCATCTTCCCATAGTCTTGCGTCATCTTCCCGTAGTCTTCCGTCATCTTCCCGCACTCTTCCGTGAGCTTCCCAGCAGCTTCCCGCAGTCTTCCGTCAGCTTCCGTCAGCTTCCCGCAGTCTTCATCTTCCCACACTCTTCCGTGAGCTTCGCAGCAGCTTCCCGTAGTCTTCCGTCATCTTCCCGTAGTCGTCCGTCATCTTCCCGTAGTCTTCCGTCATCTTCCCGCACTCTTCCGTGAGCTTCCCAGCAGCTTCCCGCAGTCTTCCATCATCTTCCCGCAGTCTTCCGTCATCTTCCCGTAGTCTTGCGTCATCTTCCCGTAGTCTTGAGTCATCTTCCCATAGTCTTCCGTCATCTTCCCGTAGTCTTCCGTCATCTTCCCGTAGTCTTCCGTCATCTTCCCGTAGTCTTGAGTCATCTTCCCATAGTCTTCCGTCATCTTCCCGTAGTCTTCCGTCATCTTCCCGCACTCTTCCGTGAGCTTCCCAGCAGCTTCCCGCAGTCTTCCGGTCATCTTCTGCAGTCTTCAGCTTCCCGTAGTCTTCTGCCAGCTTCCGGTCATCTTCCCGTAGTCTTCCGTCATCTTCCCGTAGTCTTCCGTCATCTTCCCGTAGTCTTGAGTCATCTTCCTGTAGTCTTCCGGCATCTTCTTCCGTCTTCCCGTAGTCTTTCGTCATCTTCCGTCATCTCGTCCGTCATCTTCCCGCAGTCTTCCGTCATCTTCCCGTAGTCTTCCGTCATCTTCCCGTAGTCTTCCGTCATCTTCCCGCAGTTTACCGTCGTCTTCCAGCAGTCTTCCGTCATCTTCCAGCAGTCTTTCATCATCATCAGGATTAGAGGTTAAGGTTAGAGGTTAGGGTTAGAGGTTAGGGTTAGAGGTTAGGGTTAGAGGTTAGGGTTAGAGGTTAGGGTTAGAGGTTAGGGTTAGAGGTTAAGGTTAGAGGTTAGGGTTAGAGGTTAGGGTTAGAGGTTAGGGTTAGAGGTTAGGGTTAGAGGTTAGAGCTAGGGGTTAGGGTTAGAGGTTAGTGTTAGAGGTTAGGGTTAGAGGTTAGGGTTAGAGGTTAGAGTTAGAGGTTAGGGTTAGAGGTTAGGGTCAGAGCTTCCCGTAGTCTTGAGTCATCTTCCCATAGTCTTCCGTCATCTTCCCGTAGTCTTCCGTCATCTTCCCGTAGTCTTCCGTCATCTTCCCGTAGTCTTGAGTTAGTCTTCCGTCATCTTCCCGTAGTCTTCCGTCATCTTCCCGCACTCTTCCATGAGCTTCCCAGCAGCTTCCCGCAGTCTTCCGTCATCTTCTGCAGTCTTCCGTCAGCTTCCCGTAGTCTTCTGCCAGCTTCCGGTCATCTTCCCGTAGTCTTCCGTCATCTTCCCGTAGTCTTCCGTCATCTTCCCGTAGTCTTGAGTCATCTTCCTGTAGTCTTCCGGCATCTTCTTCCGTCTTCCCGTGAGCTTCCCGTAGTCTGTCGTCATCTTCCGTCATCTTCCCGTCAGCTTCCCGTACTCGTCCGTCATCTTCCCGCAGTCTTCCGTCATCTTCCCGTAGTCTTCCGTCATCTTCCCGTAGTCTTCCGTCATCTTCCCGCAGTTTTCCGTCGTCTTCCAGCAGTCTTCGGTCATCTTCCAGCAGTCTTTCATCATCATCAGAGGTTAGGGTTAGGTTAGGTTAGAGGTTAGGGTTAGAGGTTAGGGTTAGAGGTTAGGGTTAGAGGTTAGGGTTAGAGGTTAGGGTTAGAGGTTAGGGTTAGAGGTTAGGGTTAGAGGTTAGGGTTAGAGGTTAGAGCTAGGGGTTAGGGTTAGAGGTTAGGGTTAGAGGTTTGGGTTAGAGGTTAGGGTTAGAGGTTAGAGTTAGAGGTCAGGGTTAGAGGTTAGGGTTAGAGGTTAGGGTTAGAGGTTAGGGTTAGAGGTTAGGCGTGTCAAAAATCCGCCGCGGGACCCCCCCTCCCCCCCTCAGACTCCCCCTAACCACCACTAAGAACACGCCTCGCCCCTTTGCAGAGACTAACTTGGCTTTTGCAAAGGGGTCGGCGGATTACATAACATGGGGCATGGCCACAGCTAAGATTATGCCCGTATCACCCTTCCAGAACCGCTTCTAAGAGGTTCTAGAGGCGGGTTCCCTTTGCCCTAGAGGCAGCCCTTCCACGCCTGGGATGACTTGGAGGACGTTTTGAAGGCCTTCATCCGGGGTGAGGAGCCTCGCCCGGACCTCTCGGTGCGGATGGGCCGCGAGCTGCGCAGCTTCCTGCCGGAGGCGCCGGTGTTTCAGGTCAGAGGGCATCGTTGGGGCAGCCAGGATCTTGGGTCTGCGGAATTTTGATACATCCCCACGTTTTAGCAATGCTGTTGATCCAGTGGACCGCTGTTGCCAAGCAGATCAAAGGGCTCCGAGGCGCTCTCGGGAAGTGAAGTCCCGTTTCCCGAAGGTCTGGGATGACGCAGCCTGTCGACCCTCCGCGGCAGAGTGCCTGCTACGCCTGTCGGACATGAAGGCGCCATCTCTGCGCGAGAGCGGCTTGGTTGGGGCGGGTTTGGGTTGGGCAGGGCATGGGTCCCGGTCCCATTTTCCCGCTATGGTTTCCCTTTCAAGTGCAACTACCAAAGGGTGGTTTCCCTTTCGGTTTTCCTTTAAAGCAACCCAGATGCGGCACCCTCCAAAAAAGAGGCCCAAAAAGCACAAGGAAAGCTCAAAGGAAGCTGACCGCGGAACCAAGTCTGTGGTTTGTCGAAAGGAAAGCCTACGGACAACCTATTGGTTGCACTTGCGTATACATGCCTTGCATGAGGCATGAATGGGTACTGAAAGAGTTCCTCAGAGGTAAACATGCAAACCCAGGTTGGGCCTTGGGTTTGCTTAAATCAGGACCTAGTCCTTTGTGACTTGGTGATAGTGTTTCAAGGGAAAGCAGATGGGAAACGCGCCAGTTGTAGGTTGGAGTATGCTAGGCTTTCAGCCGGTACTAGTACCCAGTTGTTCAGTGAACCCCTTTCTCTTTAGCGGGTCCAGGCAGACGTTTCAACATTTTTCCCTGGAGCCCAGGTGTGGCAGACTGTCTGTGCCTGAGATGCCTCCGCTGAGACTCTCTTTAATTAGCAGAGGCGGACAGGGCATGCGAGGGCACAAAACGAGCGCGCCGCTTTGCCTGCGCTTACATGAAAAGCACGATTCAGCATGCTTTTGATAGTGGAATGCGATTGAACATGGCGAGTTTACAATCATATCCTAAATCCTTGTTTGCTCAACACGCACACATAGATAGAGTGCCGCAAGCCTTATTAGGATATTTGGATATTAAGATATTTAGAATCTGCAAATTTTCTGAAAGCCTTTCTTTCCAAATTGATTCATACATATTTAGCCGAGATGTGTTCTCAAGGCTTTGCTGGCCAAGCCAGCGAGGGGATGTATGATGTGCGCATATGAGAGTCGTTCTAAAGCCCTTGTTTTGATTTTTAGAATGAGGTTCGTTTTTTTGGGGCATTTTGTGTAGGGTTCGAGTGTCGGAAGCTCCGCGGAAGCGCGGCGGAAGCTTATGACTAAAAAACAGCACGTGTTTAGATCTCATCGTTTCATGATTATTTGTAGCGTGTTTGGTTTTTGTTTGCAGCGCGGAAGCTTTATATGTGGGAGTCATTCTAAAGGTCCTTGTGCTACAAAGCTGCGCTTTTCGAGCTGGAGCTGCGGAAGTGTACTTCGCATACTACACTTGTACTACAAAGCTGCGATTTTCGAGCTGGGGTTGCAGAAGTGTACTTCGCGTACTACACTTGTACTACAAAGCTGCGATGTTCAAGCTGGAGCTGCGGAAGTGTACTTTTCGCACTACACTTGTACTACAAAGCTGCGATTTTCGAGCTGGAGCTGCGGAAGTGTACTTCGCGTACTGCACTTGTACTACAAAGCTGCCATTTTCGAGCTGGAGCTGTGGAAGTGCACTTCGCGTACTACACTTGTACTACAAGGTTGTGATTTCGAGCTGGAGCTGCGGAAGTGTACGCGTCGCACGACACTTGTTCTACACTTGAACAAGCCACTTGGGCTGAGAAAACGTCTGTTGGTGACAAGGCCAACGTGTGTTGAACAGACATTTAGAACAACCCTCATATGATTGCTCTTTCCAGACCCCTGTTACGCATGGTATTGCGAGCACGAGCAGAGTATCATTGCAGCGCCCAGGTTTTCGCTCTTTGTATTCATGGTAAAGAACAGATGTCTGCGTACCCCAGCTTCAAAACCAACGAGTTGGACACCTGCAAATGGAGAAGCGTGAGCCGATGCCTTGTTGATTGTGCATTTGGAGGTGAAACCTGGGCAAGACTTGCAATGTAGTTTTGAAGAAACGGAATCAACAGCAGGGCTTGAACAGTATGGTTTTGAGTTGCAAAGCAGCGATCTAAGGGATCAATCCTTTTGGACTCCCCTACCATACATTTAGGCATCAGTGTGCGTATTGCCAACACATTGCAAGTAGGGAACAGTAAAGCCTTGTGTTCTACCCTGCTTAGTGGTTCTTTTACTGGCATCGGTCAGTACTGAGGGAACCGGCTGAATATGGGGGGTTCCACTTGGAGCCCACTTGCGATTGGGTGTGATCACCGCGCGCTCACAATTCGCACGTGTTTTGGGTGGGTGTGCCTTGGTGTGATATCCTTTTGAAGACGTTGAACTGATCCACCCATTTTGGAAGGAAATCAACCGCTGGCTTGAACCAGCCCAAAGGTTGCCTTGGAGCAGCATCTCAAAGCGACTTCAGAGTAAAGGTATCGCAACAAGAGACAGCCTACGTCCCTGCAGACAAGCCCAAGGAGCCATCTTTTGTTTGTGAAGTCCGTTTCAAGCACCCCCTCTTTGGGTGCCATGTTGGTTTTCAGGACCGCAAACCCAATGCACCTCAAAACTGTACTGAACATCCAATTGGTTGAAAAGCCAGGTGGTTCCGCCCCAACCAGAAGTCCTCTTGTGGTGCCGTCCTAGAGATGTTCATGGTGAACTTGAAGCTGGCTTTCTGGCGATGCGGTTTTTGCTCTGGATGTGATTTGTCACGTTTGTTTCTTCATTGGTTGGTTGGCGGGTGGGTGGGTTGGTAAGTTGGTTGTTTGGTGGGTGGGTGGGGTTGGGTTGGGCTTGGTTTATGTAGCTGTTATTCTATTGTTTCACCAAAGACCTTCACCACTTCCCATGTTTTGCGGTCTGTGGGCAGTGGCCACTTTCCTACTGTGATACTTCCGACGAAAACTTGACAGCGACTTCCACCGTTTTGCCGGGAGGGGATTGTGGCGGGAAGTTCTGGAGTCAAATTCCTGATTTCAACTTAATCTTGCTCCTGTTGGGATCATGTGTGCCTTCCTGCACACCAACACACAGTTTGTGGTTTTCTTTTGCGCAGGGAATAGCCAGCAAGTGATGTGCCGATGCACTATATGACTTTTGTTGTACACAATCATGTTGGGGTCCTCTTTTGGTTCCTGCTCGCCGCCAATTGTAGTTTCCCACTGGCACAAAGTCCTCTTCATGGATTCCCCTTTTGTCGGAGTTGCACGAATTCCATTCAACAGGCTCCAGCTTGCAGAGCAGCTGAATGTTTTCCTTTCCGAAAGGAACCCATTAATTTATCGAACCCTTCAACCCAAATTCCCAAATTCTCACTTGGCGTGAGGCCTTTCTCAGGGCACTCCCCAAAAACCATCCGAGTCTCGCAGGATGCGGTGAGGGTGGCGGAGCTGCGTCCGGAGGTCTGGCAGTCCATTTGGGTCTGGAGACCCAGCTGCTTGCCCCATTTTTTGGGTTTGACCCGTCCAAGTTGCCAGGGCTGGGGTTTAAGAGGAATCTGATTGTAGGTACCTCTTGCAATATTTGTTGGAGGAAATGTGAATTCAATGTTTGCCACCAACACTTTAAGGGAAGCCCAAAGGAGACGATTTGAGCATGTTTGAGCAATAGAGATGAAAACTTGGTTGAACAAGGAGTTGAATCCCCCCAACCCTGCCCAGAACTGCCTTTCGCGACGCCAGCAGGGCTCCAAATCAAAATGGGAATCGGCAACAAGTAGTAAGTAGCACCGTTCCCCAAAACATCGGACAAGATGCCAAATTCAATGAGTTGTCGGTACTTTTGCTTGCAGCGAAATGCAGCAGTTGAGCTGAGTGTTTTTTTTGTTCAGGCTTCCTTCTGGCTCCTTTTGGAGCCATACCGGAGACCCATACTACCCTGCAATCTTTTGTGAACCTACTGGTGTTTGCACAGCCGCTGCAGCGGTCTTTCTTTAGGGCCCCCATACCCAGCAGAGCAGTTCTCAGAACCCTTCTAAGAACCCCTTCCAAGAAGTTTCCAAAAGCCTTCTTGGGGGTAGCGGGGGTCCTGGGTTTCCCCCCTATAGTTGGTTGCGTCCTCGTGCTCTTGTCATGCCATCTACATCAGGCAGCAACATGATGTTGGAGATGGCATGCGCTGCATGATGATGGCATGCACATGCAGAAGAGAGGAGTCTTCCTTGACACCTTTGAGCCCTTTCCTGGATGCTTGGCAATAACTCCTTGTAACAAGGCCCCATGTTTGGCTCATGTTTAGATGCTGCAGCATATGGTCGCAACATGCCACGTAGCCATGTTATTGACGCCCAAAGTGAAGAGTATTTGAGTGGTGTTTGATTCTTTGGGGCTTGTGGGGTTCTTTACCAGCATTCTAGTAGCATTGTCAACGACGCTGACTAAGTCTGGACTTGTTCTGGTCAAACATATGTTATATGGTTACTGTGAGTCTGGTCATGTTCTACTCTGCAAGCTTGGGGTATTGTTGTATAAATTATGTATATACGTGTATATATATATATATACATGATATTATCATTGCCACGTGTTCTGATTGTGGTCCAAAATCAATATCGTGAGAGCTGTGACCACTGTTTCCCAAACGTGTATTTGATCAATGTGTGGCAGTGACTTTCTATTCAATGTACAGCACCCCAAATCTCCAAAATAATCAATATTGTTGGTGGCGCGTACCCAAGTCTAGCCTGAAAACTGACCCCGCGCACCAGCAGTTGACGAGCACCCATCGCTTTGGCAAGTTTGGTCTTTGATGCAGCCCTGTGGGGGCCCAACGTTTTGCGAAACAATATTGATGGTTTTTGGAATCTGCGCACCTCAACTTGCCTGGATCTTGAAAGAATCTCTTTACTTAGCTGTGCAACGAGTGTCTTTCTTGGTGGTATCAGAATTCAAGATTCCATAGAGCCCTGCTGTCAGATTGCTGGATTCAATGAGAAGAACTCTGTTTAGAGTACCCCCTCTCGCATCCTGAATACGACCACGGTTGGAGAGGCCAACTCAAAGTGCCTCACGTTTGCGCAAATACTCTTTTGCGAGGCTCCTGTGAGGCGGAAGGCAAGCACCACTACAAAAGCCACCAGTTGTTCGACCTTGAGGTGATACTTGGTGGTTCGACATGCTTACCTACAACACCACAACACTCGTGGCATAAGCTGAACATTCTCGTATGGATATCCTGACAAAGAAAAAATATTGATGGGCACTTGTTCAGATCGAGTTTCAGATTTGAGGAGCGCATTGAAGCAATTCGTGCTTTTCTCCAAAGCAACGTGCCATCTGTGCTGTTCTTCTTGAGCACGAGCATTTCCCCAACACCCAAGCCACAAGACCCGGACGGTGTGGCTCCGGGCCTTGGGTTGGCAGGTCATTGTCAGTACACAACCACCAAAACACACACACACACACAACACACACACACACACACGCACACACGCACACCCTCCCACCTCACCCACCCACCCACCCACCCACGCACACACACACACACACAGATGCCCACCCACCTGCCCGGCAGCGCGCGACATGCACGAGCAGGTAGCCTTTAACTGAACATGAATCGCTAACAAAGCTTACCCAGCATAATCTGATGTCAGTGGGAGGGCATGATGATTGATTACCCTTGGCCCATACCACACATAAACCACTTTGTTTTCCACTTGTTTCAACCGTTTGTATTTCTTTAGATACATGTATGTTTGTTTTTGCCGATAGCGGCATTTGCTACTTCGTTGCACATCACTTAGGCCTCG